AATTTTCTAGTCTGAACTTGGATGCTGACCTCCTCTTTTTTAAAAGATTTTGTTTATTTATATGACAGAGCACAAATAGGCAGAGCGGGAGGCAGAGGGAGAGGGAGAAGCTGACTCCCCACTGAGCAGGGAGCCCGACATGGGGCTCGATCCCAGGTGTCTGAGATCCTGACCTGAGCTGAAGGCAGCTGCTTAACTGACTGAGCCACCTAGGCGCCCCTAAAGATAGGCAATTACCTTTACCCATGTTTCTATTAAGGTATTGGTCTTTTCTTACATATTTCTGTTGTTATACCTATCAGCCTTTTTCTGGATGGTTGCTGATTTTTATTCACTTAGGAAGGCCTTTCTTACTGTAAGATTATAAAAATATGTGCCCATTTTTCTGGTGCCTCTCTATGATTTTACAGTTAAGTGTAAATATTTGTTCCATGTATGATTTATTTTTGTATAAGGGTTGCGGTAAGGATCTAGCATTACTTTTCTCTGACTGTCTGACCAGTTTTTCCCAATGCCATTTATTAAATCTTTTCCCCACTAATGTCAAACACCACTTTTTTTTTTTTTTAGATTTTATTTATTTATTTGAGAGAGAGACAAAGATAGTGAGAGAGAGCACAAGTGGGGAGGAGACAGAGGAGCAGGCTCCCTGCAGAGCAAGGAGCCCGATGCGGGACTCGATCCCGGGACTCCAGGATCATGACCTGAGCCAAAGGCAGACGCTTAACTGACTGAGCCACCCAGACGCCCTCAAACACCACTTTTATACTCAGTTCCCTAATCTTGAGTCTATTTCTGAATTTTCTGTTGTGTTCCACTGATTTGCCAGTTTTTCCTGCTTCATTATCACAGCTTGAATTGCTACAGCCTAATTGTCCTTTAAAATTTTTATTACTGACTTTGGTGAATATATGAATCATACCAGCTTATTCATGTATACTATTATATGTCTGACTATTGCTTAATAATGTGTTTTAATAATTGGTGCTGCCTTTTTTTTTTTTATGACTTTGCTGACTAAGCTCACAAATTTATTCTTCCAGATAGATTTTAGAAATATTTGTGACAGGTCTCCCAAGGTACCCTTTTATATTTTGATTGAGATTTTATTCAGTTTCTAGATGAATTTAGGGGAGAATTGATTTCTTTACAACTTTGAGCCTTCATAGTTAACAACCTGGTCATTTCATTTATTCAAATCTTTTGTCCTTGAATATTTTTTATTAATTTATTCCAAAGTTTTTATTGGTTTTGGCTTCTCTGTTGCTTCAGTGGAATGCCTTTTAAATTTGACCAGATTTTTTTTTTTTTGAGTAGTTGAACCTCTGGGAAAATATCATATTTTATAATCTGTAATACTAGCTTTCTAAACTGTCTCTTCAGTATGCCTGCCTCCCTAAACTAACCAGCTGTAGTTCTTTTTTTTTTTTTTAAGATTTTATTTATTTGAGAGAGAGAGACAGAGTGCAAGAGAGTGAGTGGGAGTGGGGGTTATGTAGGGGGCAGGGAGAAGGGCAAAGGGAGAAGCCGCCTTCCCCACACCCCCCACGTGGGGCTGGATCCCAGGATGCTGGGATCATGACCTGAGCCAAAAGCAGACCTTTAACAGACTGAGCCACCCAGGCGCCCGTACAAGCTGCAATTCCTGCCGTCCTTAGGACAAATCAGGTAATGGTTGCCTCCTGACAGCTATTTTTTTTTTTTTTGACATGGAATGTTAGAAATTCCTTTATTCTTAACTTATTTTTATTAAGCACCAGCTTAATGCTGCAGAAAATTTCAAATCACCCATTCTTCCCTCTGCCACCCAAATTCTTGATAAAGAGCTCTTCAAGTGAAGACACGCTCTCTTCTCTCTTCTGTATAAAACTTTATCAAATAAAGGCAAATAATTGTGTACATCTTGCTGTAAAATGCTGCCCACAGCTGTAGAAAGTGTCTGCCCAGGCCCCTTTCACTGTCCAGGTCCTGAAAGACTCTGGTTTATGAACTGTCTCTTCACAAAGCAAGTCCACCACTTGCTAGGTTTATCATTCTGAGGGCCAGAAACTTTCTCACAAAGTCTCAGTCCATTCTCTTGTCTCAGTTGCTGTTAAGTAGGCCCTCATCACCTCATCTTCCTGTTTGTTTGCAGGTTTGGCATAAATTGCATTAAGTGGAAAACCAGGCTCTCCAGGAATGGGAAAATTAGTGATTCCCAGCGTATACATTTCTTTTTCACCTTGGCTTTTGGAATTGCACTTTTGGAGTTTCTTTAGACACTCAGAAATGTAGAGAGTTATATGTATCAAGGTTCTATCAGCTTCATTCTTAATCTCATAGTTTTTGAAGACGACTTTGGCCTTAAAGTAATAGATGGCTTCATCCACAATATCTGTATCTTTTGTCTCTCTAGGAGCAGGTCCTTTGAACTGACTTCTGATAGGCAACAGTGCCATGTTTCCAATGAGTTTGGTGTCAGGGTCCATGAGAAAAGAATGGTAAGCTGGCATCTTGGTGGCGCCCGTGTTTCAAGCTAGACGAGGAGGTTGGGGCAGTAGTTATTATTCTTTAGTGACTGAGTACAAATTACAACAAATTTCTGATGAAGACGACAATGCATTGCTGACCAAAATTAGATATGAACACAAATGCAAAATTTCAACTATTTAAGTATGACATTTGGGCAGCTTTTTATTAAGTGGAAGGAACAAACCTCTAATTATAAAAGTTTCACAGGCCATGCATGTGGCAGTCTGCCCAGCCTCCTTAGACCATTTATATGATTTATTTATTGCACTTGGGAATCTAGGATCTTCTCCTGCCTCCATGAGCTGTCCTTATGCCCAAACCTATTTTGTCCGAAGTTGACTTGCTAAAAGCGGCTACTATTCATTAAGATTCTATATGTGAGATCCAACTGTGTGTTACAGCAAAGAGGTGGAGTTGATTTTTAGTTCGATCTGGCCATGTCTAAACTCTTTGGGGACTTGGACTACATGATAGGGCTTCCTAGCATGTGTGCCTGGATGTGTGTGCGTGTGTTTTGGAGGGCTTCTTTGTTGTTGTGGGAGCTCCGTGACAGGGGGAAGTGGTCATGATTTCAGCAAACCTGTAACACTGTTCTAAAATCTTTTACAGAAATCTTTTACAGTATCCCTTTTTCAAGAAGTATACTTTATCAAGTACTTGAGTATATCTTACATTGTAATTTTGTAGATGTCTGCTGAAGTGCTATTACTTGATAGATTCTAAGATCAGAATTTTGGGGGAGCATGGTAATCCAGATTTAAGAAGAAATAATGTCATCGCTAATATTGGAAGTATCCATTCCAGTTGTTAATTTGAGGTCATTAAGTACTAAGCAAGATTATAAGGTGAGCCCTTACCATATTTTAGAGAGGAAAAAAATAATCAAGTTCATTAAGAACAATTCATTTAAATATAAACAATATAAATTATAATTATAAATTTTTGTATTAAAGCAGCTTGAACCTTTGCTTTTCACACATAATGTGCTATATATTCTCTCAACCTTAGTAAAATATTTGTTTAAGCATTCTATGATACAGAGATTTTCTAGGCCAAATTAGTGTGGCTTGTTTGGGTATATTATGAAATAGTACAGACACACTAAAAGGCCTAAAGAGTAATACATTATCCATGTACCTAACATCCTACTTAAGAAACGAAAATTCTACCAACATAATTGGCCCATGTACTTCTCTCTAATTGCATAATCCTTCCTTTGCCTCAGAAATAACAATTATCTCCTTTTAAACATAATCAAAGCTATGTTTTTGAACTTTAGTATAAGTGGTGGGGTACTGTGACTCTTCTGCAACTTGCTTTTTTTTTTTCATTTGCCATAATATTTTTGAGATTCATTTATGTTGATGCATAGGTCCATTCATTTTTGCTGCTTGTACTCTTCCACTGTATGCCATAATTTCCTTATCTCTTCTGTTGACAGACATGTTTCCAGTCTTTGCAGTTAATTAACAGTGTTCTTCATATGCACGTATTTCACAGTTTCCCTAGGGTACCTTTGAATGAAATTGCTGGGTCAAAAGATACCTGTTGGGGATGCCCGCCTTCCCTGATTAAATTCTCATTGCTTTACACAGTTCCTTGCCAACACTAGGTATTATCAGATTTTTTTTAAGTTTGTTTGGTGAGTGATAGGTCTCATCTTGAATTTCTCTGATTACTAGTGAGGTTGGACATCGTTTCTTTTTTTTTTTTTTAATAATTTTTTTATTGTTATGTTAACCACCATACATTACATCATTAGTTTTTGATGCAGTGTTCCATGATTCATTGTTTGTGCATAACACCCAGTGCTCCACGCAGAATGTGCCCTCTTTAATACCCATCACCAGGCTAACCCATCCCCCCACCCCCCTCCCCTCTAGAACCCTCAGTTTCTTTCTCAGAGTCCATCGTCTCTAATGGTTCTGGACATCCTTTCTAATGTGTCGTATTACAGGTATTTTTTTCCTAGTATAATTGTATATTATGGCTGAAAATTATATGTAAAGTTGAAAGTACCATGAAGTAGTTACTACTAGATAGAAATATGCCATAACTGTATCTTTAGAACATTGGCAACTTTGCAGATTTTTTGGGAGGAAATGATTTGGTTTCCGTTAGCATATTAGAGCATGGACTTGGAAGTTAACTGATGCTTGAAACCTGGCTACATTGTTTTTTGTTTGTTTTTTGCTTTTTGTTTTTAAGAGGGGAAGGGAGGGGCAGAGGAGGAGGGAGAGAGATTTATCATTTTGTGCCAATTAGGACATTAGTGACTATGACAAAGCTGTCTAGGGTCACCGTGGATAGGTGGGAGTCACCTTGGGACCCTTGTGGGTGCCCGGGCTCTGACCTGGGTTTGGGGACTGTCAGTAACCATATGATGTGGGAGAGATGGCTGGGTGCCCTGGAGGTCACGGTGGAAATGCAGGCTTGTAGATTATTGTGAATTTATTTTATTTAGACTGTTCTCATGTCTCTTACCACAGGAATTTCTCCACATGGCTTCCAAAGAAGTGACCATTACAGTTCGCCTCATTCGTTCATTTGAGCATCGCAATTTCAAGCCTATAGTATATCATGGAGTTAATTTGGACCAAACTACAAAGGAATTTATAGTATTTCTAAAGCAAGGTATGAGATGTCTTAGTCATTTTGCTTTATTAGTATTTTGAAAAAATAGTTGACTATTACATGGATGGTAATCTTTTAAAAATACTTTGAAGTATTAATCTAGTAGGTCAGCTCCTGTTCTGTTCCTTGGCATCAGCCTGAAGTACCTTCCCGAGGCTCATTTAGCACTGTGTATACCTACCTCAGGAATTATTACCGTCATGTTTGGCTTCTACCTTTTTTCCCTCCTTTTTTAATTTTTTATTATTATTTTAAAAAATTTTTAAAAGATTTTATTTATTTGAGAGAGTGAGAGAGAGCATTGGGGGGGGAAGGGGCAGAGGGAGAAGCAGGCTCCCCACAGAACAGGGAACCCAACATGGGACTCGATCCCAGGACCCTGGGATCATGACCTGAGCCTAAGGCAGATGTTTAACCATCTGAGCCACCCAGGCACCCACTTTTTTTTTTAATTAAAAAAAGATTAAGATCTAGGTTTTCTTATAATGGGTTTATGTATTTGGAGGTTGATTAACAAGGGAATGCAATGTAGCCAATTGTGTTACCTGGCTGAGCACACAGAGGGCCTCACGGGGAGCAAGCTAGGAAGGTGACAGGCCTCTGTACGGCCAGAAAATCATGAGAGCTGTTGGTCACTGAGATCACAGAAATGACAACCAGACCAACTGCTATTTTATCATTTCGAGCTTAAAATTCAATAGGTATGAAGTGAGCAAAGGCTTTCTTTTTCCCCAAAGATTTTATTTATTTATTTGTCAGCAAGAGAGAGTAAGCACACAAGCAGGGGGAGCAGCAGACAGAGGGAAAGGTAGGCTCCCAACGTGGGACTCGATACCAGGACCCTGGGATCATTACCTGAGCCAAAGGCAGACGGCTTAACTGACTGAACCACCCAAGTGTCCCAAGTGAAGGCTTTTGATAGGACCTCGATGGGTTTCTAACCCCTGTTTTTTTCCCCCAAAGATTATTTATTTATTTATCTGACAGAGAGAGAGGGAACGCAAGCAGGGGAGTGGGAGAAGCAGGCTCCCCGCGGAGCAGGGGGAGCCCGATGTGGGGCTCGGTCCCAGGACCCGAGCCGAAGGCAGCCGCTTAACCAACTGAGCCACCCAGGCGCCCTCTAACCCCTGTTTTTAATTATTGAAGTGTTCCAATCATCAACATTTGATAAAACATCTAGAATGAGCTTTGGTTATTTTAATTGAAATGTAATTTACATATGGTGTACAGATTATAGTTCCATGAGTTTTGACAAATATAGTGCTTTATATCCATCTTAATTTTTTTTTTTTTTTTACTTTGACATACTTTTAGACACAGAAAAGTTGCAAAAATAGGACAAAGAATTCCAACTTTGGGTAGTTTTACTGCTCAGTATTACCTGAGTAGGGAGTAGGCAAGGTAGGCGACCTATACAGAAGACAGACCGCTCAGTCTCCCTTGTAGGGACTGTTAAAAGATTTCATAAGGAGAACATCATTACTCCTTAAAGTAACTGTAGGCTGACATATGGAGCATATGTTGTTATTGCTGTGTTCTTAATTGTTAGGGGGAAATTGAGAGTTGGTACTAAGATATTGCCAATTACAGAGTGTCTTGCTTTTGGAAAGATAACACCAGAAGCATATTTGGATTTTGAAATAAAAACAAATCCCTATATTTCTTATTTTGAAATCTTTATGCATATTATGGATTTTATAGTGTTTCTTAGTATTGTCGTAGTAAGTGCTACGATGTTCTTGGTACAGTGCAGGATAAGTTCTTCTCCAAGCCCTTGAGAATGAGGTATAATCTTCAGGCTGCTGCAGTGGTAGGGGAAAATGTACTCCCCCTCCCCCCCCCCGGTCACTGTGCTCTTCTCTTCCCAGATGCCTTTGGTGCCTTCCCCATCAGAGTAGTAGTACGGATCACAGCTAGATGCTCAGCCCTGCCTGTCCACATCTTTCACCTGTGTTAGTAATAACATAACTGCTACTTGTTTTAATTGTATGTGTGGCAAATGTGTCCCACTGACTAAAAGGTGAACTTTTGGGGTGCGGGTTCTTTTGAGTTGTGGGCTCTGTGCCCAAGCCTATCTGATTGGAGGCACTGTGGAACTTCTCTGAAAGGGTGGTGGGCCACATATCTACCTTTTGTAATTTTGTACATAACAAAGACCAAATAGTTTATTTTGGGGGAATTTTTCAAGTTAATGAGCAAAGCAGGGGAAGTGTTAGAGGGAGAGGGAGAAGCAGACTCCCTGCTGAGCAGGGAACCCGATGTGGGACTCCATCCCAGGGCTCTGGGATCATGACACGAGCTGAAGGCAGACGCTTAACAGACTGAGCCACCCAGGTGCCCCTTATTTCATCCTTCTAAAGTAGGAACTGTTTTATCCCATTTTATAGGTGAAGAAACTAAGGAACAGAGAGAGTAAGAAACTTGTCGGGCGCCTGGGTGGCTCAGTTGGTTAAGCAACTGCCTTCGGCTCAGGTCATGATCCTGGAGTCCCGGGATCGAGTCCCGCATTGGGCTCCCTGCTCGGCGAGGGGCCTGCTTCTCCCTCTAACCCTCCCCACTCTCATGTACTCTCTCTCTCTCTCTCTCTCATTCTCACTCTCTCAAAATAAATAAATAAATCTTTAAAAAAAAAAAAAAAAAAGAAACTTGCCTGAGGTTACAGGGCTAATAAAAGGCAAAGCTGCAATTCAACCCAGGCAGTTTAACTATACGTGTACTATTTTATTTATTTATTTATTTAAAGATTTTATTTATTCATTTGACAGAGAGAGACACAGTGAGAGAGGGAACACAAGCAGGGGGAGTGGGAGAGGGAGAAGCAGGCTTCCCGTGGAGCAGGGAACCTGATGCGGGGCTTGATCCCAGGACCTTGGGATCATGACCCAAGCTGAAGGCAGACGTTTAACGACTGAGCCACCCAGGTGCCCCAACATTTAAAAATTTTTTTTAATTTAAATTCAGTTAATTAACATACAGTGTATTACTAGTTTCAGGGGTAGAGTTTAGTGATTCATCAGTTGCATATAACACCCAGTGCTCATTTCATCAAGTGCCCTCCTTAATGCCCATCACCCACCTCCCCTCCAGCAACTCTTAGTTTGTTTCCTATAGTTAAGAGTCTTTTATGGTAGGGGCGCCTGGGTGGCTCAGTTGTTAAGCGTCTGCCTTCGGCTCAGGTCATGATCCCAGGGTCCTGAGATCGAGCCCCGCATCGGGCTCCCTGCTCCGCGGGAAGCCTGCTTCTGCCTCTCCCACTCCCCCTGCTTGTGTTCCTGCTCTCGCTCTCTCTCTCTCTGTCAAATAAATAAATAAAATCTTTAAAAAAAAAAAAAAGTCTCTTATGGTTTGTCTCCCTCTCTGTTTTTATCTGATTTTATTTTTCCTTCCTTTCCCCTAGGTTCATTTGTTTTGTTTCTTAAATTCCACATATGCATGAAATAAGGTATTTGTCTTTCTCTGATTGACTTTGCTTAGCATATGTACTCTTTTTTTTAAAATTTAGATTCAATTAGGCAACATACAGTACATCCTGAGTTTCAGATGTAGTGTTCAATAATTCATCAGTTGCGTATAACACCCAGTGCTCATCACATCACGGCGCCCTCATTAATGCCCATTACCCGGTTACCCCATCCTCCCACCCCCGCCCCTCCAGTAGCATATATACTCTTACACACCACACTAAGTTGCCTCTCTTCTGTAAAGTAGCTGTTCCATTGGGTGAATACTAGGAGAGTTAGTTTCTTTGTATGTTTCTTTGTATCTGATGCTCCTGTCCACATTTTCCCATTACTAATGTCTTACCTTAGTCTGCTACATTTATTGCAAGGAATGAGCCAATATTGAGTCATCATTAACTAGTCTATGGTTTCTTTTGGTTTCTCTAGTTTTTACCTAGTATCTTTATTCTGTTCCAGGATCTCTTCTAGAATTGCACACTACATTTAGTTGTTATGTCTCTCTAGGTTCCTCTGGACCATATGGGTTCCTCAGATCGTCTTCCCTGCTTGATGGCTTTCACAATTTTTAGGAGCACTGGTCAAGCCTATTGTAGGACAGCCCTCTAGTGGAATTTGCCTGCTACATTTCTCGTGATTAAACTGGGGTTATGGGTTTTTGAGAGGGAGGCCACGAAGGTGAAGTGTGAAGTGTCACTTTTATCCTGTCATATCGGGGACATGTACTTTCTACGTGATTATGATCATTGCCGTTAGATCACCCAGCTGTGGTAGTGTTAGCTTCTCCACTGTAAAGTTAGTCTCTTTCTTCATCTCGTACCCTTTGGAAGGCAGTCGCTGTGCACAGCTCACATACAGTTCAAGAGCGGGGAGTTCCGTTCCCCCTCCTTTACAGGGTAGTATCTACATCATTTATTTGGAATTCTGCAGGGGAGATTTTGTTTTGTTGTGCAAACTCTTCTGGCTCTGGCCACTGGGGACCTTGAGTTGTCTTCTGTGCCCCTTCTCTCTGTGTGCGTGTGTTGAGTACTTTCTCACTTTCTGGTGCTATAAGATGCTTCAGGCTCATCTTGTTTATATCCTGCCCCAGTCCCAGAATCAGCCATTTCTCAGAGGAGTCCTGGTTCCTGAGAGCCAGATCTGGGTGCTAGCTGGGCTCACTACTCCTAGGGTATTGTTTTTTAAAGCTCTCTCAGCTGGAAGAGCAAAGAAATAGATCACCCTGTGCACATACATTTATGAGTATTTTCATGTCACCATCTGTATCTATAGGTTAAACATGAGTCCTTCCTGATGTTTTCCAGTCCATTCCAACATGTATCCTTTTGGCTTCCTACCCTTGTGTATTTATATTCCTACTCTAAGTGAGGAGTCTGGCTCCCATCATCTGCCATCCATTTACTTAATTTTTTAATTCCAGTATACATAGTCATTAATTTGTACCCTCTGGGAAGCAACTTGATGTTAACTAGAAGTCAGCGCTTTGGTGCAGTTCCTTTTGCCTTAGATTTAAAAAATGTCTTCATTGCCACAGTTACTGAT